GTTCTTTTATTATAATAGAAATATCTGAATTTGCTCGTCAGTAGTGTTCCTTTTCTATAATAAAAATTGACTCAAATTGTTTTTATAAAAATTATCTGCATTGGTTCTCATCAGTAAAGTCCTCTTTTTTATGAAGAATAATATGAATTTGCTCGTTAGTAGGGTTGTCCTTTTTATAATAAAATATATCAGTATTTGCTCGTCAGTAGAGTTCTTTTTTTATAATAAAAATGATATGAATTTGCTCGTCAGTAGAGTTCTTTTTTATAATAAAAAATATCTGAATTTGCTCGTCAGTAGAGTTATCTTTTTATAATAAAAAAATGTCTGAATTTGCTCATCAGTAGAGTTCCTTATTTCCCAAAATGTCTGAATTTATGAAATCTAAATTTTGACTCATCTCATCACAAAAGCAACTTTTGACAAAAATTTTGACCGCATTATTTCTCAAACTTTGATGAATTTTTAAAATTAAACGACTTGTCGTATGTTTGTAATATTTTAGTATGATATATAAGACTATGGTATCTATCGTCAAAAAAATAATAATAAAAATCGTCAAATTTTATTTTCAACACTTTATTACAAGAAAACGGCCCGGCCGATCTCTACCAAAAACTAATCAGCACGATTCCCTACCAACATCTATCGAACGGTTTTTGAATTTTTGAATCTATTCAGTATTGCGGGCTAAAACGTGGACGAAAATTTTTACACTTTTCTGCAATTTACAAAAAAAGGCTCGGCAGATCGTCCCACAAAACTGAGAAACGCTAGTCCCCATCGAGATACATCGAGGGGCTTTTAAAATTTTACAATCTATTCAGCCGTTTTTGAGAAAACGTCGATTTACGGCAAAAAAACTGTTCACACACGCACACACACACACATACTTTTTCCAAATGTTGGTTTCATTCGATTCAGAATGGCTTGATGCGTCCAGGAGCAAACATAAAATTAGCGAATCGGATTATTTGACGAAAACATAAATTCTCCTTCGGGAAATTAATAACCAAAAAATTGTTTTTAAATTGTTATTATTTTTAAGGTCTAAGACAAAACTCACCCTTACTTCCAATCGTGGTCCTGATGGCAGATCAGCCCTTAGACGGCGCCCTTTTGGCTTCCGAAGGAAACATCGTTGTAGTCAATGTCAACTCCAGGAAAAACGTCTTTGGTTTTCTTTGTCTGGAAGAAACCCAAGTAATTAATGATAATAAATAAATCTATCTTTATTCATTTTATTTTTTATCACTTATCTTTATCCTTGTTAGGCTCGAGGCAACGCCGGTCTCCTGGACGAATACTTCGCCTTTTTGTGGATTCGTGAAAATATCGGCGCCTTCGGAGGCGACATCAACAAAATCACCCTGATGGGACATTCCGGTGGTGCCGATGACATTTTGAGACACATGGCTTCCCCGAGAACAGCTGGTAAGGAAAATAAACTAGGTGTAAGTTGCTTGAACTTCCCCATAATCAACTTAATCGATAACAATCGAGATTTATTCATATTTTTCTTCCCCGTACTTTTCTCTAAAAAGTGTGCACTATACTAAATTCTATACAAATATTGTATTTCTTCAGACATCTCACCATAGTAAGCGTGATGAAATCTTATTATGGAATGTAGTATAGTGCAGAACAAACTCGAGTACTATACTTGTTTCCATACAGAATTGAAATTTTCAAAGACATTCTGCATGGTGTGCGTGCGGAAATCTTCGTTTAGAAACTAGTATAGTTGCATCTGATAAATGAAACACCTTATCGATTAAAAAGATTAGGTGTAAGTGGCTTTTTGACAAGTTGCTAGAACTTTCAGATACGTGTAAACACTTATTTTAACAATCACATAAGTGTAATTTGTCACATCACTAACTTATTTAAAACATTTTTACTATTTTTGCAGTAATTTTAGTAATTTCACCGCGTGTTTTAAGACTTATTCGTTCCATTTCTACTAATGTCGTCTTTTGTATTTGTTAAATGTCAAAAATTACAGCTTCAAAGCGATATCTACCGGAAAAATGTTGAATTTAATAATATAATATATTAATATATTAAACGGTAAAATATTGTATCAGATCTTCTGTTATTTACCATTTGCGCCTAAAGATGGTGCCACGTTTTAAATGATGAAAATATCAAAACTATACTAAATTCAATACAAATGCTTAATTCTTAAGATATCTTACATACTAAGAATGTTGAAATCTGATTATGGAAATCAGTATAGTGCAGAACAAACTGAAATTCTGCATCTTGTGCTTGTGGAAATCTTTGTTTAGACACTAGTATAGCATTGGATATGTATGGCATCGTGTCTTTAGGCAAATTGCTGGAACTTCCCATACCGAAAACTAAATCGTTAAAAAAAAACTTCGAGAAAAAAATTTTTTTTTGAGAAGTTTAGATTTTTGAAACAATTTAAATTTTTGGAAAAAAATGATTTTTGTATATTTTGACCTTTTTTTATATTTTTTGTCGAAATATCGAAGCGCGTAAGCGCCGCGTAGACGTCTAACGTGTAAACATTGGATAAGGAACCCATATAAATGCACACAAACATTGTACTTATTATAATCTTCATAAAATATCTGATAAAAACGCCAAACGGGTTTTTTACTTTTTTTCACTTGATCTCCGAAACCGCTAGACCTGCCTTCCCAGAAAGCAGTTATTCATTTTTATTAGTTACAAATTATCAGTTATGTGATGCCTGTTACCTATTTCAATTTTATTAGAAACATTTATCAGTGTTTCAAGTTTTTATTTTTATCCTGGTTTTATTTATTAAATGATGACAACATGTAGTATCGAAACGTAAATATTCCCAAAAATATCGAAAAGTTTGGAAAAAATTGACTTTTTGGGAAAATTAGTTTTTTTTAACATTTTGAATTTTTTGTTGTATTTTCCCTAAGAGTAAGTTACAGTAATGGACCGAAAATCGAAAATGAAATTTTTTGCATATCTTCACGTTTTAGAGGTTTCTGAACATTTTGGCGTACCTCAGAAAAAATGGATGTGTGTGTATGTATGGATACAATTTTGTCTGTATTTTTTGGCTGTATTTTTCCTCCTGATTCAAAAGTTGTTTTCAAATCGACAAATATCAAATTGACCCATTGTTCGAATTTTTCAGGGTCAAAACAAACAAACCGAATTGTATCAAGGCCTCATGTTTTGTTTTGTTATTTTTTGAAATATTTTTGTATGAAATCAGTCAATGGAAAATTGACAAAAATGAAAATGATTATAGTTATGTTACATAACATTAACGGAGAAAAAAATGTTATAAAAGTAGTCATGGATTTATTTACGTAATTAAATCATTCCATTGCATACATTAGTAATGGGCCAAAAATCGAAAATGAAAATTTTTGCATTTCTCGACGTTTTGAAGGTTTCTGAACATTTTTAAGAGGCATACCTCAGAAAACTAATGGATGTGTGTGTGTGTGTGTGTGGACCAACCGATTTGAATGGTTTAAAAAACATTCGATCACCATTGATAGGGAGATGTGCTGATTAGTTTTTGGCAAAGGCAGGTCCGGCCATTACGGAGATACGGAGCTAAGAGTGCAGAAAAGACAAATCGAGTTTTTGAGAGAACGGAGTATCGGATTTGAATGATCTGTAAAACATTCAATTTGTAATGATTGGGAAAAGATGTGATTAGTTTTTGGCAAAGGCAGGTCCCGCAATTTCGAAGATACAGAGCTAAATGTGCAAAAAGAGGCAGTTTTTGAGTGAACTAAGCGCGTCCGATTTGAATGATCTAAAAAACTTTCTGCTTGTATTGACAAAACAAAAATTATTACATCTTTTTTTATTTTTCATAAAATATTTTTTTATAATTTTCGATTAAAAACTAAAAAAATGACCCAGGCTAAGCACAGTCTAAGCGCCACTCTGGTACAAATGTTTACCCGAGTGCGTTTAGACTGTGCGTATGCACTGGAGCACTTTTCCAATTTTGTGAAAACTATTGAAAAATGTGAAAATGCCGCTAAGCTAAGCAGAGTATAAGTGAAAATGTCGCACAGAATTATTAGCAAATGCGTTTAGACTGTGACTATACGGAAGCACTTTTTCAATTTTGTATAAATTAGGCAACTATGTTTTTTTTTAAATTGAATTCGAAATGAAATGACGATTGTTAATGTTCTGGAGATAAATTGATTTATGATTTACATTTGATTTGCTCAGATATAACAAAATAATGCAAAAATAATGAAAGTTACACTGTATTTGTAATAATATATTTGAAAACGTCTAAAATTTCTCGAATATTTTATTACGGTACGGGAAGTTCCAGCAATTTGCCTTAAAGCACGATGCCATACACCACTAGTTATTATTATTAACATGCAAATGTGTTCACTGAACATAAATTTGAAATGTGTCGAATTTTTGGAATTGTTTTAAATTAATTTGTACATCGAATTCCTATTAATATTGAACGTCTTAAGCAAAAATCAAGATTATTTGTTCCAAGGACGTTTTGCCGAATGTTGTTTTATTAAACTACATATCGACAGAACAAAAACTATATCTTTTATATTTATTATGTATCTTTTAGGTTTGTTCCATCGTGTGATTTTAATGTCGAGTAGCGGTTTGAGGAACATAGCAGTGTCGATTGGACCAAAAACTGGCCAAAGGCCAACTTTGGCCAGTGTCGGATCTCTGACAATTGCCCAAAGTTTGGGTTGTCCAACTGGCGACTATAGACAGGCACTGCAATGCCTTAAACAATTGGACAAGGACGATTTGTTGAGGGCATATGAAGAAATATATCAGGTAAAAGACATAAATATATTAGAGTGGTCCTTGATATGGATGCTTTCGAATTTCTTTGCTCCCAGGGGCTCAAATGATTCCAAAATGATAAAAGATAATTCTCTGAAAGTTTTAGCTCTTAATATTAACTTTAAGATAGTCCGCACTTCAATTAAAGTTTCTTGGTTCTTAATCCTAAGTAAATACTTCAAATTAAATTTTCGTTGTAATTTTTTTATTTACGATCAAATTAAGCAAAAATAATGTCATTCTCAACATTTTGATTCACTTGTCGCTAAATTATTAAATGAAATTTTACCCATGTTATTTCCATAAGAAACTTTGATTGAAGTGCGCACTATCTTAAAGTTAATGCTAAGAGTTAAAACTATCAGAGAATTTTTTTTTATCAATTTGGAAGCATTTGAGCCCCTGGGAGCAACGAAATTTGAAATATCCATATTAAGGACCACCCTAAAAAAACTAAAATTTACCACGTAAAATAATTTAGCAAATTAAGTCTCATTTATCATTTCTACATAACGTGAAAAATTCAATTTTATTTCTCTGTTGAAAAAAAAATTTATACTAAATGACCCGACAAACGTTGTTTAACCATAGAAAATATTTCTAGAAAATTAATCTGCTCGTCAGTGGAGTTTCTATTTTATCTTCTGTATTAAAATTAAAGTTTGGTCGTCACCGGCTTTTCATCTTTTAGTTTCAAATTTATTTTGCTTGGCAGTAGAGTCCATTATTACAATTTTCTAGATCAAAGTAAAAGTTTGTTCGTCAGAAGAGTCCATTTTTTCATCGTCTAGGTTAAAATTAAAGTTTGCTCGTCAGTAGAGTTCATTTGTCACTCACTCACTTGTCAGCATTCTCTGCTAAATATAATTATTTTTATAGATTGCAGAATGAAAATAAAATAAAAGTAGAGTTCATTTTTAATTTTTTAGATCAAAATTGAAGTATGCTACTCAGTAGAGTCACTTTTTAATCTTCTAAATCAAAATTATAGTTTGTTTGTCAGTACAGTCCCTTTTTCCCATCTTACAGGTAAAAATTTAAAATAATAACACTCATCAGTAGAGTCCCTTTTATCTTTTAGATCAAAATTAAAGTTTGTTCATCAGTAGAGTACTAATTTAAATTTAAGTTTGCTTATCAGTAGAGTCCCTTTTTTATCTTCTAGATGTTTTCTCGTCTGTAGTCTTTTATTTTTTAGTTTGAAATTAAATTTGCTCGTCAGTAGAGTTTCTTTTTGTCATCTTGTAGATTTTAGTTAAAGTTTGCTCGTCAGTAAAGTACCTTTTTTCACTTCAAGGTTAAAATTAAAGTTTGCTTGTCAGTAGAGTCTCTTTTTGTTATTATCTAGATTTCGATCAAAGTTAGCTCTTCAGTAGAATCTATCGTTTCATTTTCTAGTTTATAATTTAATTTGTTCGTCTCATATTTTATATAAGATAAGAAAAAATATCTTTATTGTTATACGTTTCGACACTTGATCTGTGTCATCATTCCATCATATTTTGATTTGTCACTTATACGGGGCAGTATGATTTTTTGTTTCATGATGAATTTAAATAATAGAATTGTCCTCTTTCTAATAATTTTGTTTTGGTGTTTAATTTAGAAGTAAATATATTTTATTAAGATGTTTTGGCCTGGTTGATTACTGGATGATGACATACATCAAGTGTCAAATCGTAAAATAAGAAAATTATAATTTTTTGACTTATTTATATATTTCGACGAATGATTCGTTATTTTTATTATATTTCCAGAGTGGCAATCGTTCCACTTTACCAATGGCAGTGGTGGATGACTTTTTACCAGAAAACGAACGATATCTACCATTGAATCCAAAAGAGGTATTTATATTACTCAACAATTTTTTGTAAGAAAGTTTTATAATTTAAAAAATTTGAAAGAATATTTATACACAACTGCACAAATGTGTAGTAACTATACACAATGTGTGAACATAATTCTTAAAAACTCTGGACAATAATTGCTTAATTTTTATAATACCTAAAAAATTATAATAATAATATAATTCTTTTATATAATTTTGGTAAGGTCTTCGAAGATGGGAACTTCGTTCGTATACCGATTTTAATCGGTATAACATCAATGGAGTCTGCGAATATAAATGGTATGTACAAATTAAGCATCGATTTGCTCTTTCAATCAGGTTATTTATTATAGAGATATTAAATTTGCTTGTCAGTAGAATTGAAAAATATTTTATTATCCTCCTGAAGGAGAAGTTTGTTTTCATCCAAAAATCCGATTCGCTAATTTTATGTTTGCTCGACGTCTCAAGACATTCTGAATCGAATGAGACCGAATTTAAGGGAAAAGTATGTGTGTGTGTCAACATATTTTTGACCTTTCGTCGACGTTTTCTCAAAAACGGCTAAACCTATTTCAAAAATTTAAAAGCCATACGATGCATCTCGATGAGGAGTAGAGTTTGTCAGTTTTGCGCTACGATCGGCCGAGGCGTTTCTTTGTAAATTGCAGTGAAATGAAAAATTTTTTGTCCACATTTTAGCCCGCAATTCTGGATCGATTTTGAAAATTCAAAAACCGTTCGAAAGATATTGGTTGAGAAACGTGCTGATTGTTTTTGGTAGAGATCGGCCGGGCCGTTTTCTTGTAATAAAGTGTTGATTTTTTTTCGACGATTTTATTGAATTTTTATTTTGACGGTAGATACCATAGTCTTCTAGATCATACTAAAATATTACGGCCCTACGACAACTGGTTTAGCTTTAAAAATTCAACAAAGCTTACATAATTTAGTATCGTTTTTTTGGCATTTGTCAAAATTAAATCTTTAATCGACGTTTTTTTCAAAAACGGTTGAGTCGATTTGAAAAATTTAAGAACCATTCGATAAAACTTGATAAACACTCGTGTTGGTTAGATTTTTATACTATCTGCCAAGCCGTTTCTTTTATTTAGCAAAAAAGAGTAAAAATTCCGAACTAGCTGAAACTTCCGAACCAATTTTGAAAATTGTGAAACATTTAGAAAGATATTGGTTGGAAGTCATGTTGATTAATTTTGGACAAAGATCGACACAGCCGTTTCTTCGTAATTAACAGTTGAAACATATTTTTTTGATAAAACTTTTTATTTTGATAGATATCATCGTCCTAAAGAACATATTAAAATTTTACATTCCTACGGCAAGTAGTTTAATTTTAAAAATTTGTCAAAGTTTGAAAAAAATATCAAAGTCAAAATTTGTGTCAAAAGTCTCTTTTGTGATGTCATGAGTCAAATAATGAACTCAAAGATCTCACACTGCTAAATGAGCTCAAAATAAGTGTCAAAAGTGTGACATCAGTTAGTGAACGAGCGCTGCCGACAATCGTGGAATACTCCCGATTTATTAAATGTCATATGCATTGACCTTATAATATATGAATCGATTTTAACAAGTCTATTCGATTTTCAGTACTTTTATTTCACAGGCCCAATATTATTAATATCAAAATTCTTACAAAATTAAGATTTCACACAATTGTCATTATATTATTACAATAAAACATATGACATATGACATATGACATTTAGGGTGCGTTCGACTTGGACGCTTACGCGCTGTGAGCGCTCACGCTTATAAGCACGAATTTTTAGCGTTCGACTTGGCCGATAAGCGCTCAGAATCGATAACTCAAATCCGTTCGTTTTGGAAACTGTGAGCGTCAATAAGCATCAAAATGGCGGCAACTGGCGGTAACGGTAATTGTGTAAATTTTATTACTTTCTGGATCATTCAGCGGGATTATAAAGAATTTAACAATTAATAAATAAATGAAATTTCGTTTGCTTATGCTTAATTCATATTAACATTAAAATTAAAATTTAAAATTATTTAAAATTAATTAAATTTAAAATTAATTAATATTAATATTAATATTAAAAAATAATTGTGTTATACAACTTGGCATTTTTGCGGGATTATAAAGAATTTAACAATTAATGAATAAATGAAATTTGGTTAGCTTATGCTTAATTAATAGTAATATTAAAATTAAAATTTAGAATTATTTAATATTAATATTAATATTAAAAATAAATGTGATATACAACTTGGCATTTTTGCGGGATTATATAGAATTTAACAATTAATAAATAAATGAAATTTGGTTAGCTTATGCTTAATTAATAGTAATATTAAAATTAAAATTTAGAATTATTTAATATTAATATTAATATTAAAAAATAAATGTGATATACAACTTGGCATTTTTGCGGGATTATATAGAATTTAACAATTAATAAATAAATGAAATTTGGTTAGCTTATGCTTAATTAATAGTAATATTAAAATTGAAATTTAAAATTAATTAATATCAATATCAATATTAAAAAATAATTGTGATCTACAGCTTGCCATTTTTGCGGAATTATAAAGAATTTGACAATTAATAAACAAATGAAATGACAGATAGTAAAAACAACTGACGCTCACGCTCACGCTGCCCTACCTCCGTGGCGTGAGCGCGTTTGAGCGCAAAATATGTGCTACGAGCATCCTACGATGGTGCTACGAGCGTACTTATGTGACACTCACAGCGCCAAGTCGAACGATGAAAGCGCGCTCACGGCGCGCTCACAGCGCGTAAGCGTCCAAGTCGAATGCACCCTTAATCAATCGGAAGTGTTCTACGATTGTCGGCAACGCTCGTTCGCTAAGTGACGTCACAAACCTATCATTTGACACTTTATAGATTGGAAAACATATGGGTATTAGCAGTCTTATGAATGAACTGCATTTTTAGGACATACAAGTACACGTGTCTATACTTATAATTAATATAATATTAATATATGTATTACATATATTATGAACGTGTTTGAGAAAATTCAATTCGAAATCGCAATGTTTAAATTCAATTGAAAGCGATAACATAATTTTCGAAATAAATAGTTGAAAATTTCATCTAAATATCTCAATCTCAAATTCGGTTGATTAAGTCATTTATTACACCGATCGGAAAGTTCTTGCAACTTGCCTTAAGGCTAAATGCCACTTTCAACTTCACTTTACTTTTTTACTTTACTTTAATCATTTTTTCAATTAATTAGATCTTTGGAACGATTTATCAAATCAAGGACCTAACATTTTGCGCAAATACATTCACAACACGGCAATTCCTGGATTGTTGGAGAAACGTGGGCTACAAAATCATCCGAGGTAGAACTTAATAAATTATTTATTAATGTTTAGTATTATTATTTTTTATATTTTTAGAGCTTCTTTGATTTTATCAGCAATAAAATGGCGTTACGACCTCACAGACGACTCCAGGACCAAGTTGTTGGAGAAGTTGAGAAGTATGGAGTACGATGCTGGTTGGAGTGCCCCACATGGCGAAATTTTGGGGATATTAGCGAAAAATTCGAGGTTGTATTATAATATAAAAAAATTATATAGATTGTAACAGATAAGGTGAGCATACGTCCCGGATTGGTCGGGACAATCCCGGATTTCCCCCTTGTGTCCCGGGTTTTTCTTAAAGCCCTATTTCTCCCGGATTTTGATTTTTTGTCCCGGTTTTTCGAAAATTAAGTTAAATTAACAAAAATTAAGAAAACAAACTAACAGATGCAAATTTTTTCAAATTAATTATGAAGAAAATTGAATAGAACATATACATCGAAAAATATAAGATATATCATAGATAAAGAAGTATTGCATATGTCGAAGTATAAAGCTCTTACTAAAAGTCCGCAATTATGATAAAAAAAAGATTCATTTGAAAAACTGTTTTTTTATTGTATCCTTGAATAGCATTTGTTATATAACCGACACGATTTACGACTTTCCACTCTACTGACGAGCAAATTAAATTGCGAACTAAAACAACAAAAAGGGACTCTACTGACAAGCAAACTTTCAGTTCGTTTTAGAAGATTTAAAAAAGACTCTACTGACGAGTAAATTAAATATGGACTCAAGTATTAAAAATAGTAAATTATTAAGAGCAGTGGACTCTACTGACAAGCAAAATGGAATTTCTTAAAAGGAGACTCTACTGACGAGCAATCTTGAATTTTTATTCAGAAGTTGGAAAAAATGACTCTACTGACGAGCAATTTAAATTTCGACTGAAGGATGAAATATAGTAAAATATTAGGAGAAGTGGACTCTACTGACGAGGAAAATGGAGATTTTTTTTGAAGAATGTTGGGTCTCTACTAACAAACTTTAATTTTTATTCACAAATTCAAAAAAAGGATTCTACGAGCAAATTTTAATTTCGATCGAGTATATTAAGAAAATGACTCTACTGATGGGCAACTTAAATTGCAAAGTAAAAAATACAAAGCACTCTACTGGCAAGCAAACGTTAATTTTGATCTGAAAGCTAAAAAAGGGACTCTACTGACCACCAAACTTATTTCGATCTAAAAGATGAAAAGAAACTCTACTGACGAGCAAAATAAATTGCAAACTAGAAGAAGGTAAAGAAGGGGCTTTACTGACGAGCAAACTTTGACTTTGATCTAGGATATAAAAAAGAGACTCTACAGGCAAGTAAACTTCAATTTCGATCTAGAAGAGAAAAAAAGGAACTCTACTAACGAGCAAACTTTAATTTCGATCTGAAAAATCACAAAAACAACTCTACTGACGAGAAAACTTAAATCTTGATCTGGATTAATAATTTTCTTGTAAATGGACTCTACTACGAGCAAATTAAATTTCGACTTAGATAATGAAAACTTCGACTGAACTGTAATTTATATCTAAAAGATATAAAAATGGGACTCTACTGACGAGCAAACTAAGGTTTTTTACACAAATGAAGAGAACATTGACTTAAAATTACCTTCCCAAAAAAAATCTACATATTTAATAATTACAAACAAACTGCTCAACAGATTTTAGTCCTAAATTTTATATTAAATCTTGATGAAACTAAAATAATAAGATTTTTACAGCAGGTCACAACCAAGATACCAAATGGTCAGAAGTCTAAAAGATCCAAGTATTTTTGCTTATATTTTCGACGAACCCAGACTTCCTGATCTTCGTGGAAAAATCGGCAACTTTTCAGGTAATAAATTAAATATAAATATTTTATTACATGTAGGTAGTACTAAGATTTTCATACTTTATTATTCTTGATAAAATAAATAAAATGAATATAAATAAATTATCAAAAACTACCTCGGTTAAGTCGTATAAGTCGAATGAAGTCTGATAATATAAATAAAAATATAAGTTAATTGATGTGAAATACAAATTGAATATACTCACCAACTAACTGAACTATATCCTCTACAAACCGAATAAAAATCATTCAAAAATTAAACAAAATTCTCAACAAACTGAATGTCACTGAATCATTCACAACTCTAGTTTAAGACTAAAACTAGCCAATAACTTGACCAAAACCGATTTTAAAAACTTTCCTAATTTTAATCATGTTATCATGTTAATGATAATTATATTTATATTTTCAATAATAATAATTATATTTTCAGGAGCAGGTCATGGTACAGACCTGGCGATGATCCTTGGAACATCAACCCATCCTTCATATCGAGGAGTAGATCAACATAGTGAACGATTTGCCAGAAAAACTCGCCTGAGTTGGATAAATTTCATAAAAAATGGGTAAATATTAGTAATCATATAGAAAACACCAAGGCTACTTTCTATTTATAATTACAAAAACAACTAGTGGGGCGCATGACATCGTGCCTTAAGGCGAATTGCTGAAACTTCCCGTACCAAAAATATATATTTTTTAAAAAGATTAACATTTTTGAAACAAATTTACTCTGAAAAAATAGATTTTTGGGAAACTATAAATTTTTGACAAAAATTTACTTTTTTTTTATTAAAAAAAAAAAGACTTTTTGAAGAAAAATTTATTTTGAAATATTTTGGAAATTCTGAACTTTTCAAAGCAATCGTACTGCTTTAACTGCATAGAGACAAAATATCGAAGCGCGTAAGCGCCACGTCGCAGTCTTTCGGACAAACGATGTTAACCCATAGGAATGTAAACAAAATTTATACTTATTGTTAAAATCTCTATAAAATATCTGATAATTTGATGTGCATATGTCTAATGATCATTTTTGACCGCCAAATGGCTTTTTTTTTTTACTTTTTTTACTAGATCTCCGAAACCGCTAAACCTGCCTTCATGAAAATTTGATCAGTTCTTCATCTTGTTAACACAAGTAGAATGTATTTTGAATCATTAAAATCGGTCGCTCCGTTCTCTAATCAGCACGTCTCCTTATCAACACAAATCGAATGTTTTCTGAATTATCCAAATCGCTTCATCCGTGTTCCCGAAATCGTCGACGAAAATTTGTATCCGCACACACATACACACACACAAACATACATCCATTTTTTCTTAGGTGTGCCAAAATGTTCAGAAGGTTTTGAAACGTAAAGATATATAAAAATATTCATATTCGATTTTTTTGCGGTTACTATAACTTGCCCTACGAGAAGTTAAAAACGACATCCATCCTAACCAGTAAAGTGTACTGGAAAAGTCTAATCACCAAACTAAAATGCCTACTAAGCACTGTCGTTATTTAGCTTTTTTTAAATTATTTTTCAGGAAATGCGATTTGCTTAATTTATGTTTTCTCGACGTTTCAAGTCATTCTGAATTGAATGAGACCGAATTTTGAATGAATATGTGTGCGTGTGTGTGTGTACAGGTAAATCGATTTAGAAAACTTATTTCAGTATTCGGCTTCTACTAAAAAAAGACCTTTCAAATGCCATAAAACATAAAATCTTAAATTTTTTGAAGTAAAACTTCTTTAGACTCGGTTCCCACAATTTGCAAAAAGTGTATAGTTAGTGCATAATTTATATAGATAATTCTATGCAAATGAATAAAAATTTATATAGTTAATTTTAGTATTTGCTATAAATATTTTACAACTCAAAAAATTAAAAAAAAATGAAGAAATATTACATTTTTGCTATAAAAAATAACGTTCTTTCACAAGATTTTTTTTTTTTTAAATGTTGTTTGCTCGTGGAGACCTTTCAAATGATACCCCATATGCCATGAAAGATACAAACTAAAAAATTTAAGTAAAACTTCTTCAGACTCTTTTGTTACAAATTTATTAAAAGTGTATATTTAGTAGACAATTCGCAAAGTTATTTTATCAACTAAAATCTATTTAAAAAGACCTTTCAAATAATACCCAGCATGCCAAAAAAGACAATCGAAAATGTTTGAAAAATGTGAAAATGCCGCCAAGCTAAGCACAGTATAAGTGGAAATGTCGCACAGAATTATTTGCAAATGCGTTTAGACTGTGACTATACGGGAGCAGTTTTTCAATTTTGTGCAAATTAGGCAACTAACTATTTTTTTGCAATTGAATTCGAAATGAAATGACTATTGTTAATGTTCTGGAGATAAATTGATTCATGATTTACATTTGATTCGCTCAGATATAACAGTATAAGTATTTGTAATCATATATTTGAAAACGTTTGAAATTTCTCGAATATTTAATTACGGTACGGAAAGTTCCAGCAATTTGCCTTAAGGCACGATGCCATACACCACTAGTTACTGGATAATTTTTATGGTT